TAAAGACTGGGCCCAGAAAAAGGATGTCCGAATATTACAAAGATAAGTAAAATTTTATGTTACTTTGCAAACTTAAGTTAATCTTTCATTCTTACTGCAAGTGGCAGATTTTCAAGAAGTTTTACCTCATGCGAGGTCTACCTTTATCGCCAAAAGGGCGAGAAATGAGTTGTGACCGATTTTCTTATTATGTTTTTCAATTACTCGCGCGTAAAACTAAAGTTGATGTATAATAGCGTTGTGTAAAAACTTAAATATTGTAAAAAAGTTATTGTATAAATTTTATTTAAAACATTCTAGCAAGAGAGAAGTTTTAGTCTGAAAGACTTTTTGAAATGTATTATTTCAATGTAGAAAGAATTGGCACTTGCTTTGAAAAGAATAGAAGTTAACAATGTACTACTAATGTATGTTTTCAAATCTGTAAAATTAACGGCATGTTGATATGTTCTGTTATTTTAAATGTTAAGAAATACCGTGATATGGTAAAAGTGAAAGTAATGTTAAAAATTTGTTATTCGTGTGACTGTAAAGACTAAATCATGGCGAATATGTGTTAAAGGTTGAATGATGTAGTTAGGCTCTCTGACGCTACACTTTAGAGTTAGCCACTTTTCAGAATAGTACCTCAGGGTTTAGAGTTGAAATTTAGGGTGTGTTAAGAGGTCTCGTTATGTTGAATTTTAACACGTTAGTGTTTTGATTGTAGGAGGAAGTGTGGCACACGTAGACAGAAACACATTCGTGTTTGGTGTTCTTTTACAACACATGTCAGAGAGCACGGGGAGAGATAATTAAAATAGTCATGAATGAAATAAGAATGTTAAGAGCAGTATAATTCTATATGTTACTTGCCATGTCATTGTGTAACATTTCATTAAACTAGTTTTCCTTCCAGATCTCTGGAAGGAACCAGAATTGAATAAAAGCTCCTGGTTAGATGCAGTACAGATGAAAAAAAAGATTGTTGTATATCCTGGGAGCTGCTATTGTAACAAATTTCTTTCTTCTTTCTTTTAAATTTTCTAGTTTCTAGCGAAAAGTATGGTTTGTAAAAGGTTGGCCTCGCGTTAGATTCTAGAGCTAAAAGTTTTCAACAAGGTCGTTTTAGACCTCAGTTTCAAACTAATTAACTCTGGCGGGAAGTATGTAAGGATCTTAAGTTTTACTAACGTTTATTTATTTTAAATCTTTACTATCACTTCTTATTTTCTACTTCCGGCCAGAATTATAAGCGTTAAGGTTTTTATGCAAAGTTTGTCTGGCGAACGCCAAGTATTTAAGTGTGGCCTTTTTGCCAAGCGAGAGAGAGGAAGCAGTAGTCAACGCAGGCCGCTTACCTTAGAAGTTACGCAGTTGCTGTTGCCTTCCAGGCCAGAGGGTTTTAATCCTCTTGATAAATTAAACGTATTGTAGTGTTCACAGTCTCTGTGCTACATACGCTTCCTGTTATTATAAGGCCAATCTTCCACGTGTATTATTCTAAAGTTAAATTAGAGTTTGGTTTTATTGTTATACTTTTTTACGTTAGACCCCGAGTGGAGGGTCATTGTATTCCGAAGTACGGAAGTTATTGTATATAGAGAAAAATAAAGGGTTTTGTATACCCTTCGTCTGTATCCTGTCTACTTACTACAATTAGTGAACATAGCTTTAGTAAGCTCTCTGTTCCTAGTCAGGTCCTTGTATGTTCCCGAAGAAGGTTAGAAGGAACATTGAACCTGATAAACTCACCTATTTCATCTGCACGTTCTTCAGAAAGTTTTTAACACGATGTTCGTGGATTTCTTTCAGAAAGTCCCTGGTAGATATTTTCTGCCAGGGTATCTTCTGTCAGATACATTCTGTCATCTTTTATCTGATGTAGAGAGACCTGTTTATTATAACTTCGAAATTAACACAGTTATTAAAATTCTGCGCCATACTAAACAAAAAGTTGCTTTTTTGCATAACTTTAAATGGTAGATTAAATTAAAAATCAAGCAGTTTGTTGACCTAATTCTTTAATTATTGACAATTTTCAGTCGTTTGGCAACTTTTTAATTTTATTTCGTTCTTATATGGAGAATTTTCTTCAGTCTGAAAAAATTCATTCTATAAAATTTTGATGACTTTGATAACTGAGTTGTTGATTACAATAAGCAATGCATTTTCTATGTGTTAGTATACAAATGGGTGGGACTTCGGCAATTCCATAGCAATATCCGAATTATAACATTAACCGCGATCACATTAAACGGCATCTACTGTGTAACTAACTATATATGGATCGAGAGAATGTCTAAAATGTTATATTTCGAAATCTAAATAAAACTAATTTTTTAAATTTAAAACACCATATTATGAGTATTTGTTGTATTTAAAATATTTTTGCAAGTAGACGTACAGGTCTACGACCAAAGGTTTCAAAAATAAAGGCCGCGTATTTTATAGCCAGATTGATTATTTTACTTTCAAATTATAATTTCTATTGCTTCTAGAATCTGTTGATGTCATAATGAAAATTCCTCCCGAGATTTTATTTTTAATTACATATGATAGATACATACATTACATTACATATTTTAAATTAAGTATTATGATAGCTAAAATTACATTTTGCGTTTTAATGCAAGTAGTTAAAACTGCGTAATTTTAAAAATTATGCAGTGAAAGCTTATTCATAGAGTAATCGATGATGCAAAAAAAGCAGAGTTATCGAGAAGTAACATAGATACATGAAATAAAATATGAAAATAATTATATTGATAGTAAAACTAAGAAAATAGCTAATCCCAATAAATAAATTAATAAGTAAAAGCCAGCATTCTATTTGCAAATAAAAATGAAATCGTTTCATGGAAATCGCATGAGCAGCTCTTATAGCCACCGAAAATTTTGAAAATATTATTAAGAAGGATGCATTATTTTTGAATGGTCCATGCTCTGTAATTTGGAAGAAAGAAATGAAAGATTTTATGCTATTTGGATTGGGAAAGTATATTTTACTAGTGCACATTATTTTTCCCAGACAGAAAAACAACACCATTTACGCCATTCTAAGTTACTATAATTTTCTTGCGACAAGTTTATACTTGAATAATTAATGACTTCTTGCTCAGCACGGAGACGAACAGCAGAAGGATGTAGCTTCCCTTTAGAAGTCATTGAACCTCTTTATTAAGGTATGGAGATATCCAAGATTTAAGACATGTATTTTCATTTACATAGCCATTTTATTTCATTTAGGTGAGAGCAGTGGTGGTGAGGGACGGAAATGCAAAATCTCTTACTTCAAGTTTAAATGTTGTATGAGAACTGTACGAAACTAATGCAGACTTTATTATTATAAAGGATATATTAGAAATAATAATAATAATAATAATAATATAATAATAATAACTGAAAGCTTTTAGATTTTATATTACGACCAAATAGACGCTTTTTTAAAGTTTTGCGTGTTACCTTTATTTATTAAATATCATCTTTTTCACACTTAAACCATAAAATTCAATTTTGTGATAATCATCAGCAGTATCACAAAATATTTAAAAGAGCATATCTTTAGAATTTCCGATAGACAGTCTCTCGCGCTGGAGATAATTCCTCCCCTCCGAATAGTGTTGCCATTGCTCGCTTTAAAACTCTGAGCCTGTTAATCAAAAATTCGTTAAGGTTTTACAAAATGTGAAGTAGACAATAAAACAAATTTCAAATTTGGGTTTCCAGATGCCCATTTTGGAGGAGAAGACCACGTTATTCATAAATTAATGTCTCTAGTACCGTCGTTTTTTCACAAAGCGATAAACATACTGTTACGAATTTTGTATTTAGATAGCTAATTTTCGTAGAACTATAATTAAAATTGTTTTAATTCCCCGTGCATTGCAGCTCGTGATAAATTTTAAGAGAAAGCTACTCTGAAAAAGTAAAAATATAAGAGTACTTGCATTTAGCATTGAATAATTGAATATCTTTTTTATTTGTATTGAAATTGAATAAAGGTAATTATTACTGTGTTAGCTGTAAACGCAATTCCATCCTCTTGTTGGTTTTCAGAAATCTTGAGAAGCTAAGAAATTACTAGAACTCTCTCGCGACTGATTGAAAGCTTTAAAAAGCCGGAGAGAGACATCTCTGCTCAGTTGTTTAGTTAGCTGCTGTTGCTGTTGTTGATCGGATTAGCTTTCTCTGTGCTTTGGGTTCTATTTAACATTTTTAGTAGTTTAAAGTATAACTACTGATTATTACCGAGTGATATTATGAACACCTGAAGAAATATTTCTGAGAAAAATTCCAGCGTTCTGTTATACTTCTTTTGATAAGAATAAAATTTTATTAACCTTTTATCGGACTTATGCATTCAATCAGTTACGAACCCGTACGCATGCAACAATACATACATTCATGCAGATTCTTAATTATTTAATTTCTTTAAATATAACGCAGGGCTCTAATATTTGGTGGCAACACTGAAAAGTGAAACGTCGTTTATAGTGAACCAAAGCAAAATGGCAAAACGAAACTAATAGCCCTTCTGGGCAAATTGCCCCTTTGGGCTATTAAATTTTTAATGAGACAACGTTTATTTTATTCTTTAATTGTTAATGAGTTAAATACTCAGCATTGACTGACAATAATCTCTTTTTAATATACTGTGAGAATATGTTATAGCTAATCAATAGTTTGTGAAACAAATTACTATAAAAATGACATTCGATTTTAAATAAATTATTATAACAGAATTTTTAATTATCATATTTAAGCTAAAGAACATTATTCTCTTAATGTATAAGAATGTAAATCGGAATAGCGTAGAATTTTTCCTTCTGCTTAAATGCAATTGAACTTTACGAAGCTATCTTACTTAGCTATCATTTTTGGTCAGTAAGTGTCAAAGAATGATGACTTCCGAGTTGTACGCGTGTTGTAAGGAAAGCCGGCCTTAAAGAGAGGGGAAGGCGTGTAATAAGATGTAGTGAACAAAAGCGTTTTTTCACAGCACGTGAAGAATTTCTTGGCCTTGGTCCAGGCGCGCTGTGGCGACGTTTAAATATAGCAGTCCCGCCGCGTGTAAAGATGCTAAAATCTCTTCCTACGCGACGGAGGATCAACAACCAAAAGCCCGCTTCCACACCTTCGCCCTTCTGTGGCCACTGACCGTCGGAGAGGTACGTGCAAAAAGATATTACTTCATAATTGCTAAATGCCAGACGATATTCTTTCCGTTTCATGCAGCTTCTATTGCCTCAGCTTAACCACATTAACTGTTCCAGATGTTTTCTACTTTTCTTTGTTACCTCTTGTTAAATGAAAACAGTTGCCCTAAATTACAAAGAAAGTGCAAAATTTCAGCAAAAATTATATTCAAGTTTTATAACATGCATGTGAGGTTTTATTTTGCTTTTCAATGAACTGCTCAAAGGTATAATTTTAAACCCTTGTTGGACGGCAATAAAATAAAGGAAATAAAACTTTTGGTTTCCAAGGATCTCTTGTAATAATTTCAATGCCACGAAAAAATTCATTGAAGTAATTTGTTTGTCTCCAAGGGACCTCTGTATAAAAATACCATAATTTATGTTATGCGTGATCTTTAAGTTTTAGTTCTGATGATCTAATAACATGTACAGTTATCTATGCTGTTTCTGTTTAATACAGATATATTTATTTTATGCGATGTATTAGCTTTTTTTTATTAGCAGGTGCAAATGGCTTTTTTTAATCTTATGGAAAAATATTGTGTTCTAGCAAAATAGATAACAGATCTTCAATTATATATATAGCATGAGAGCTTTCATTTTTCTTCGAAATCATGGAGTATGAACCATTTAAAAACAATGCATCTGTCCTAATAATATTTTTAAGATTTTCGGTAGCAAAAAGGTTTTTAATAAGGTGCTCATGCGATTTCCATAAGATGATTTCATTTTTATTTACGAGTATTAGGCGTATTTCTTTCTTTCTTTTTTTAAAAAAAAAAAAAAAAAAAGATTTTTTCTATTTTTAATTTTACTTTTATTGATATAATTAACTTCATATTTTATTTACTATATCTGTATTATTTATCGGTTACCCTGCTATTCGTTCATTATCCATTACTTTATAAATAAACTTAATAACTCTACTATTTATGCATTAAACGATTATTAGATAAATAAACTATAATAATAACGATAAAGTCGTGTATAAGAGTTGTCTTTTTTGGGGAGGAGGCGGTATAGACCAAATTTTTTGGCCATATAAGACTTCTTTCAAATTTTTATTTAAATGATAAAATCTTCATCATACATAACAATATTTTATAGCATTTTCATTCAAAAGAGAGTAGCGAAGTAGTATTTGCAGTTTTCTGTTTATTTGTATTTCAACTTGGAGCGTTTAGAATTTACAAATTTAACAGCTGGTCTTTCGTTTACATATATTTATATTCGATAATATATATATTAATTATATATATATATATATATATATATATATATATATTAAATTATTAAATATTTCATATATTAAATATTTTTCTAAACTGTAAGGTAAATGGGGGGTTGGTGCACTGAAAAAAGAAGTGAAAATAGGAGCCTGGATTGACTAGGGATAGGGGATTTATTTTAAACGTATTAATTCTCAAAATTTATTTTGCATTATTACCGCTATTTTTGTTGCTGCTATCAGCCAAAAATTGATTTTACTTTGCATTCCGGCTCTTCTAGCGGCAAGGCTACTACAAGGGCCGGAATGGATATTAAATAAAGCGTTCGATCATTAAAAAAAATTTAGCTGTCCTATCAGTGGTCGATTGGTTAAGACACTAAATATGGAGACTGAACCGGGTTCGATTCCAAGCGAACAATTTGGCTGCATGGTCTGTTTTAGTGGTCTTCCTCTCTGTATGTGAATGCGAGCCAGTTTCCCGTAGAAAGTCCTCCATTATCCATTAAGGTATACCTCCTCTTTGTCAGATAGCCTACTTGTGCTTTTACATATTCAAATAACCAACCGAGCATTCCTTATAAAATCGTTTGTTTTGTTTAAAGTAAATATGGTGTATCAACATTTTAATACCCATTTTTCCTCAGCTTATTGGAGTGCATTTTTCTATTCTCGTTGATACCCCCCGCCAAAAAAAACCCCGAAGTTTTTATTGTCTAAAGCCAGTGATTCTCAACCACTGCGCCACGGCATTTTTGTGTGCCGCCAAATTTTAGAAATGTATATAGTATATACTAGGTTTAATCCTAGTATAGAGTACACAGAATTGTCGAAATTCGGTTTTTATGACATAAGAAGCGCGCCAATTTTGGTATCCTAACCGATTTGGGTGCCGAATGCATCTGTATTTGAATTAACTTGAATTGACTGAATGAAATACATCTGTATTTGAACGAAGAGGAAGAACTAATTTTGCTTTCTAGTAATAGAGATTTAATTTAAAAATATTCGGAAGAATCAATTCATTCATTTTGGATTAACATTATATGCGATTATCCCATGATGGCCAAAAATGCTTTAAAATATTATTACAGTTTTCTACATTTGATTTGTGTGAATTCGCATTTTCAGTGTTAACCAACATAAAAACAAAAGGAAAAAAAAAAAAAAAAAAAAGATCGAGACTGTTAAATGTAGAAGACAGTAGCATTATCATTTTCATGACCAAATATAAATGGAATTATCAAAAACATCAAGCTCAAATTTCTCATTAAAAGTATTCTTCTTATTAACTTGTAATTAATCCCTTAATAAACGTACTGCTGTTTTTGTATTTTATTTTATTTTATATTAAAATTATTATCATATACAATTTTACACGATGGGTTATGGGTTATTCAATTATGGCAAAGCGCACGAGGGCTATCTGCCTAAAAGGTGGGATGCCTTCGTGGAGGTCTTTCTAAGGGAAACTGGCTCGTATACACGTTACACATTGGGAAAACCACGAAAACGCCCATGCAGCCAGCCCGTTCGCGGGATTCGAATCTCGGACCGAACTACCAGTGTTCAACGTCTTTACCGCTCGGCCGCTGGTAGGCAATTTTACACGATGTATTATATATAAGTAAACAACTTTTAAATTTATCTTTTTCTTTGTGTGTGTGCCGCCAAGTTTTGAAATCGTTAAAAGTGTGCCTCGACAAAAAAAAAAGTTGAGAATCACTGGTCTAAAGTAAGTTTATCTGAAAAATTAAATTTTAAATAAAAATATATAAAAATTTACATGTACCGTGAATACGTAAATATTGAATACTTCTATACATCGAAATGAGAGATAAGGCTTTGGTTCTGTAAATTTAAAACTTTATGCAATAAAGACTTTTTAATGTTGTACAATTCATAATGTTTCTCAATCAGTATCGCTTTCATATAATAAAACTATGACCAGCGCGTTTATAAGCGAATGTCACCTCTTAGCGATTACACAAAGGTCTTTGTCATTTACAACCTTTTCTTCAGTTATATTTGTAATTGTTGAATATCTGATTGCTACTTCTTGAGCTGATTTATGTTTCGTTGTTTGTAGAGGAACTTTCTGAATGTCCACTATATCATTCTGAGAATTATGATCAACTTGCTAACATGAACTAGGTCATTAATCGTTTTTCTGTGAAAGGAGTATTCTTTTCTCGTTGCAGTATTATTAGGTTCGCATTTTTGTTTAAGCATTATTGTTTCAACAGTATAATTTGAAATTACTAAATGTTACAAAAAATATTCTGTCATAAAGTTACAGTGTATACTAATAAGCAATATTTTGCTTAAAAAAAAAAAAAAAAAAAAAAAATTCTTATTTTGGGACATAAATTTATTCCTAGCTGTGTAATTAGTAGTGTAATTAATTTTTGAGAATAAAAAATGGGGGAAAAGTATTTTAGTGAAAATATGGAAAAAGTTTAAAGATGAAATATTCGAAGACTGCTTTTCTTGGGAAGGACTACGTCTGTGAAAATATTTCTGAAACAAATATTTTATATTTGTACTGAACGGGAGAAAAAATCTTGAAAACAAATATATCCATTTTTACTTCCTTGTACGAAATAAAAAGGAAGTATTGTAATCGCGAAAACTTTCAGGCAGCATATTTGAACGAAAATATCCATTTTGACAGCTATCGAATGCACTTTAACGATGTTTTTGCGTGATATCTGTACGTAAGGACAGAATAAAAGACTCGTTTCCTCCAAAAAAATTATAAAACTGCTTTAAAATTAATTCGGAAGAGAATTTTTCGTGTCGTCTGTACGAACGTATGTACGTACGTATTTCGCATAACTCAAAAACGAGTCGCCTCAGAACATTGAAATTTTGTATATAGGACTGCTATAACATGTAGATGTGCCCCTCGTATTTTGGTTGCAATCGGCCGCACCAAATGTATATAAATATATTTATATATATGTGCACTCTGTTACCCGGCTCAGTGATCTCAGTTTCTTTACTCTTATATGTTTGTAAATTGTACATTTTTTGCTTTAAAAATGATTAAATTATGTTGTTTTTATCTTCCGGTTAAGGTTTTTATGCCTTTAGTAAATCTGTATGCAGTATTTTTAGAATTATCAACAATTTTAAAGTTGTTTAAGTGCCGCTAAGCCTGTTTTTAATGGCGGCCATTGATGTTTACATTTGAAACAGCAGACTAGTGGATTCGTTGCCAATCTAGAGAAACTTAGCTTCGCAACAACAAACATAACGCCTTCATTTATTATTGCCAATTAAGTCATGCTTAATCCTTTCTGGAATTTTTTCGAGGAAATAAGTGTTTAAGATTTACTTCGTAAATTTTTAATATAGGTATTTTGAGTTTTTATGTATTTTTGCCTTCTCGCGAAGTGAGAAATGAATTAATTGAATGAGAAATACTCAATCGTCTGTGAAAAACTGTTTCTTTTCTGTTTTATCTGCTTAATTTCTTTTATACATCATTCTAGCTGTATTATAGTATTTGAATAGAACATGTGGCAACGATTAGATAATTCTATTCTTTAAATGATATAAATTTTGTGCATTATGAGTTATAATATGAACGAAATATAATACTGTTAAGATAATCTAGTGCCAAAGTGTCAAACAAATACTAGAGTGAATTTTAAAGAATGCATTTATTCTATTGTGGTTTATGCGCTGTCGGCGAAGTAGATTTAATTCAATCCAATAAGTTTAAATGAAATGCAAG